CTGCTCGAGTCCGGATCTGGACTCCATGGCGTGCACACCACGGTCTCGGGAATGTCTGCCTCGGTTGCTCTGCCCCCAAGAATGATCCCTGGCAGCCAAAGTACTGATCATCTAGTTCAGCTCGGGTGGAGTCTTAGTGAGAACATCCCCTCCTGGGCATAAAGACTCAATCACCCTCTGGCTATCTGGAGAGAGGGCACTGTAGAAGTTCCCCACTGTGAATGCATCACTGAAGCCATGATGGGGACACTGCCAGAAATAGCCCATGTACCGCTCCCAAGCATCACGAAGTGACTCATCTGGCTCTTGGCGGAAGTGAGTGATCTCCCGCTGGATCTCTGTAGTCTTCGATGCCGGATAGTACCTGTGCACGAATTTGTCAGCCAGATCATCCCAAGAGGTGATGGACAATGGGGGCTGGGTCTCCAACCACCTCTTAGCATTCCCCGCCAGAGAATGGGGGAAGAGGTGAAGGCGGATTGCATCATCCGGGACACCATTCAGCTTGAACCCGTTCGTCAGCTGCAGAAAACGGGAGAGATGTACCCTGGCCTCCTCATCCTTCAAGCCATGAAACTGGATAGAGGATGTGATGAGCTGAATCCAGCATGGCTTGATCTCGAAGTTGTTTGCTGGAATAGGCGGGTAGAGGATGACCGGGCGGATGTCAGCAATCCGCGGAGTGTAGTAGTACTCCAAGGTGGGACCCGTTTGCGGTGGATGATGAACTCCATTATCCTGGGATATGGGGTTGTTCCCCAGGACCTGATTCACCGGGGGAACCTGCTGAGGATTTCCCTAGTGCTGATTGTAGTCTCCGTCCATCCCGTACTCTTCTTCAGAATCGCTACTCATGTGGCCGTCTATGCGCTCTTCCGTAGCCAGTCTAGCTCGCTGTTGTCTCCTGAGCTGGCGACAGGTGCGATCAATCTCTGGATTCAACGGCAGTAAACCTCCTGACTGGCTACGGGTCATGCACTACCTGCACACACTCAAGCAAGCAAACCCGTGAAGGCACAAGTGGGACAAAGCAAACAAAGCAAAAAGAAAAGCTAAATTAACAGAAATCACTTTTCTTCAACAACCTAGCCGTCCCCGGCAACGGCGCCAAAAACTTGACTCACTTCTACTGTCACCCTAGGAATTGGCCAAGTGAAACCACTTCCTAAAGCGTAGAATAGCCGGTTTGGGTTTAAATGTCAACACGGGTCCTAGATTAGATGACTACTCAGGAATTCTTGTTATCTAGCAATGAAACTTTAATGCAAGTCTAAACTACCGAACAAACAAAGCAAGTAAACTGTTGTATTCAGGTTAAGAGAGGTCACCCGGATATGGTTCCCCCTAGACTGCAGTTAAGCTGGATTGTAATTACCAAGTTCAATTTCTATGATAGTTATACTGCGGAAGGTTCTTAAACAGCCTGAAGTCTCGACTAAAGGTCTTAAGACCCTCTCAATCCGAGTCTCTAGCGGGCGACTAACCTCCACCGGAGTAAACAGATTGAGGCCTTAACAAACAAAACCTCCACTACCGGAGTAAATCCGGTACAGAATAGTGAGTTGGCTCCTCGACTAAAGTCACCAACTCCCTACCTTCAATCAAGGATGCTCTATCAACCTAGGCAAATATTCTCATTCTAGGTTAAAGCAGAAACAACAGGAATTTGATCAGGATTCAAGTCATTCAATCATTCAAACCTCAATCGAATATAATCAAATCATAGAATCAGTACTTGGGTTCATACAATCAAACCTAACATACAAATCTAGGGTTCTCCAAACCCAGATGAATGGGAGAACTAATCCATGGAGAAAGAAGCAAAAGCAGAATCAGACGCGGAATTCATACTGTGAAGGATGGATTCCTGCTTCTGGACTTTGATCGGCACTTCTCCAAGCTCAAACTGGACTTCAATGGTGTTGAAGATCAAGCTAGGGCACTTGGAGACTCTTGTTCGTCGCTTTATCTCTCTAGGAATCGCTCTGTCTCTCTAAAAACTCGAATCCCCTTCTGTTTGGCTGAAAATCTGCTTAAAAGGGCATCAGTGGCCAAAGCACGGTCGAGGGAACGGCCGTGTAATACCTCAGCCCGCCCGTGCTTTGGCTAGTGTTAATTACACTAGGAGAAACACGGCCGTGCTTTTGGGAGGACACGGCCGTACTTTGGTGAACCACGCCCGTGTTCTATCTCAGCCCTGCCCGTGTTTTGGCCAATGTTTGCCAAACTCGAATTAGCTCTTGGCAGTAAAAGCACGGTCTCAGAACACGGCCGTGTTCTGGTTTAGGTGTGCCCGTGTTTTGGCTCAGTTTCACCAAAATGACTTCCGAATGCCCCGAAACTCGTGCTTAGCCTTCCCTTTTACACCTGGGACCTGAAACATGACAAAATAGCACAACCCGGCATAAAATAGGCCAAAAACACACGACTATGCCCCTCAAACGGATAAGAACTAGGGGCGCAAACATGTCAATCAGTTTATCTAATGAATTTTCTCCCAAATTTTTTTCCAAGTGGGGTCCCAGGAACCCTTGTCCTCATGCATTTCCTCTGCCACTGCGTACTACCATGTCCTATGCAGAGCCATGCACAATATGTTGATAACAATGGAGCGGGGGTGAAGATCGGTAAGGTAAGCAAATTGACTAAAAGAAGATAGGAGAGGCCAAAATAGGTGAGAGAGGAGTTGACCAAGTCCCGGGCAACCACAGTAGCTCAACACCAAGACCGTCCAAGGGGACAAAAGGTGGAAGCATTGAGAATCCTGGGCGGTTTGCTTCCCTTTTCAGAGGCAGTTGGAGCTACCTCTTTACGGTTTACTTGGGATTACCGCTCCAGGACAGTGCTAAATCGATCTCAGTTTGGAGTCTTGTTCTTACAAGGTTCCAAGCTAGGCTGGAGGGATGGAGAGGCGGCTTTCTTTCCCTGGGTGAGCAGCTGATCCTGACCTGGAGCACCCTCTCTAGCTAGCCCCTTTACTTGTGTGCAATCCGAAAAGCCCCTAAAACCGTCATCTGTAAAATGGAGAGGATTATAAGGAATTTTATCTAGTCGGGAGTGAATGAGAAAGGTAAGTACCACCTTGTTAATTGGCATCAATACAAAGCTCAAGTTGGTGCAGGAGGCTTAATTAAGTATTCTGGACATAGAGATTATGAATACAACCCTTCTATCCAAGTGGATATGGAAGTTTGCTGTTGAGCGTGATGCTTGGTGGAGGAAGCTCATTAGCATCAAGTTTCCAAACACTTCTTCTGTTTGGATTTCTGGGCAAGGAAGTGGTTGAACTGGTAGGTTTGTTTGGATGTGTAACTTGAAGGACATGGATAATTTTTGGAGATTTTCTTATATTGATCCGGGTGGAGGAGCTTGGATTCATTCTGGCATGATCGATGGAATCGTAGGACGACCTTAGCAGAAGCCTTCCTAAGAGTCACTTCTGCTTCCGCTCTTCCAAATGGCTGGATTTCTGACTTCTTCTCCATTTCGGATACTGTGAGTTGGAACCTTTCCTTAAATATTTCTTTGAGAGGTAGGGCTGAGAGGGAGAGGATTGATCTTTGTAATTTTCTGTCAAATTTGCCTCTTGGTGGATTTCTACTAGTCCTTGCAGGTTGGTGTGGGTTCCCGATCCCAAGGCGGGATTCTCTGTTTGATCCATGTATAGATGCATGTGCTGTGAGAATTTTCCCGGTACACTGGCTTCCCGCAAAAAGTTGTGTGGCACACTCAGGTGCCCTCAAAGATAAGCTGTTTTTTTGTGGCTTGTTTATCACAAACGAATCCTAACCCATGACAACCTGAAGCGGCGTGGCTGGAGCATTGGGAGTAGATGTACACTCTGTGAGGCGGACATTGAGACTATTCATCATCTCTTCCGAGAATGCAGATTCAGTAATAGCATTTGGTGTTCCTTAGTGCAAGTATTAGGGGTGATCGACCCTCATTTTGACGAGATATAGCACGTGATTCAGAGTTGGCCTTCTGAAGAACCTTCCAATTGGCTTGATTGGTTCACCCATCTCTTCCTACATGCTTTCACTTGGGAAGTATGGAAGGAACAAAATGGAAGGATGTTCAATGGCAAGAAGCTCAGGTGGAAGTCCATTTTTCACAAGATCGGTCAAATTCTTCTCAGCTGGGTTGTGGCAGGGGGTCAGATCAGTGATTCTAGCAGGAATGAGTGGCTTAGGCTTCTTTCCGAAGCCTGCCTTGTCTATCGTGATTTTTGAACTGGTCTATGTTTGTTCCCTTTCTTTTGGTTGGTGTAGTTATTGGAGCATGATCCTTTGTTTTTCGAGGATGGCACCTCATGCTACGCTTGGTTTCTGTTCTGAGGGGCTCAGCTCTTGTGAACTCCTTGTGGCCTCTTTTGTTCTTTCTCTTTTTTAGCAATAAAATTTTCACCATTATAAAAAAAGGTGGAACTAATAGCCGAGATATTACAGGAAAGGAAGGGATGGTTCAAAAAAATAAAGATGTGGGGAACCGATCCCCTTCGAATAATAAATCAGGATCCTGAGTTACAACTGCCGCGAACTAGGAAACAAGCGAGCAGTGAAGGATTTAACGACGCTTTTGCGTCAAGTTTCCTTGCAGGTTATTTTCCTCATGGAAACTAAACAACTTGTGTCTGAAAATGAAGAAATTTGTGACCTTTTAGGGTTCAAGGATGGCGTCTGCTGGCCGACGGTTACTACTAACGGAGGTAGGCAGGGGGTTTAAGCGTTTGGTGGATGGAGGATGTGGAGATGGAAGTGATGGATATAACACTACACTATGCTGATGTCAAGGTACATGAGTTGGGAATGGGCACTTGGAGATTCACAGGGATGAACGGATGGCCAGAGTCTGATGGGACGAGACATATTGTGGAAGCCTTCAGATACCTCTCCCATCAATGGGATGGACCATAGTTATGCGGTGGAGATTTTAACCTCGCATTTTGCGACAAAAGGTGAGAATGCAGCCCCTGATAGAGATATTGAGGATTTTCGCGAATGTTTGGAGGTGTGCGGTTTGGTGGATTTGGGTTTTCAGGGCCTTCCCTTACATGGGATAGCAGGAAAAGCGTTGGGTTCACGGAGGAAAGGCTCGATTATTTTGTCGCTAGGGAGAACTGGACGGAGCTATTCCCGGCAGCTCAGGTGATACATTTGGATGTTAATAGGTCAGACCATAGACCTCTTATATGTGATACTAGAGGGGAAGATGATGAAGCGATTAAATGGGGGCAGAACTTCAAATTTGAACCTCACTGGTCAAAGCATAAAGACTGCCCGCGGATAGTCGAAGAGGCATGGAAAAATTGGGGTGCTAGTGTTCTTGACAAGATAACAAATTGCCGAAGCAAGTTGGATACATGGAGCCAAACCACCTTTCCAAATTTTGCAAAGCAGAGGAACCAAATAAAGAAAGCGTTGAGGGTGCTTGAGAGAAGTGAGAAGACACCGATGATAATTCAACAAAGACAGGCCTTGGAATCAGAGTTAGATGAAGCTTGAGGCGAACGAGGAAATTTCCTGGAAAAAACGATCGCATGCGGATTGGTTGCAGGAGGGTGGCAAAAATAGGAGCTTCTTTCATAGGAAAGCGTCGGCGAGACGAAAAATGTAATTCCATCAAAAAGCTCCAAGACGAGGTGGGACAGTGGTATACGGGAAAGGAGCAGCTATTTGAATGTTTAACGTCATACTATTCAACACTTTTTAAGGCGGGTCCAATTCCGAAGACAATCCCAGTTCTTAACACTATTAATCAGTGAGTATCAGTGCAGGACAATATGATGTTGTTGCAGCTGATAAATGAGGAGGAGGTTTATGTCGCTTTGAAACAGATGGGCGCCCATAAATCACCCAGTATGGACGGGATGTCAGCATTTTTCTTCCAGACATATTGGACGATCGTGGGATAGGAAGTTACGGCAATAGTGGTGGGTATTCTCAGTTCTGGGTTGATGCCGAGCAAGATGAATCACACGTTGATCCCGAAGGTCAAAGCACCTAGAACTCTCAAAGATTTCCTCCCCATCAGTTTATGTAATGTCAACTACAAAATCTTCTCGAAGGTGATGGCGAACAGACTTAAACGAATACTGGGGAAGATTCGCTGGAGCAGAGTGCGTGTGTCCCAGGAAGGTTTATAACAGATAACATAATCACAGCTTTCGAGTGTTTTCACTCGATGAAGAAGCAACTGAAAACCAAACCCGGTTATTTTGCAGCGAAAGTGGATATGACAAAGGCATATGATCGACTGGAGTGGCATTTCTTGGAAGAAGTTATGAGACAGATGGGGTTGGACGATCGATGGATATAGGTGATGATGATGTGTATCTCGAATGTGACTTTCTCTATCCTAGTTAATGGGAACCAGTCTCTGTGGTTCCCCCCAGAATGAGGGCTCCGTCAAGGCGACCCACTCTCACCGTACTTGTTCCTGTTTTGTGCTGAAGGACTATCGTTGTATACCCAGGTTGTTGCAGCAGAAGGGAGAATCCATGGGTTCCAAGTCGTGAGAGGAGCCCTTACAGTGACCCACCTTTTTTTTTTTTGCCGACGATAGCTTCTTTTTTGGCAAGGCAACAGTATAGGAGTGCACTGAATTGAAAAGGTTATTTCGAGTCTATGAAGTGGAGTTGGGCCAATTCGTGAGTTTTGAAAAATCAAAGATCTCGTTCAGCAAAAACGTCAAACCCCGTAGAAGACTCGAAGGTTGGTTCGATCCAGGGTATGCAAATTGTGGAGAAGCACAATAAGTACTTGAGGCTGGCGACTAAGGTTGGGAGGTTGAAGAAGGAGATGTCTGTGGCTATTTAGGAACATATTAAAAACAAGTTGAAGAGCTGGAAAGAGCGAGTTATGTCAGTGGTGGCAAGGGAAGTCCTGATTAAGTCGGTGACACAAGCTCAACTCACCCATGCGATGTCGGTTTTTTGCATCCCTCAAGGCACCATCGATGAATTTCATAAAATTATTACAAACTTCTTATGGGGCCAAAAAAGGAACGAAAGTAAGGTGTGTTGGATTCGGCGGGAAGCTTTGGTAACACCAAAAAATGTAGGAGGAATGGGGTTTCGGGACTTAGGAGGTTTTAATATTGCACTATTGGCTCGAAAAATTTGGATCCTCTACCAGAGGCCGGATTCGTTGGCAGTCCGGATTTTACAAGCTAAGTATCACAAATCGTCAACCATTCTGGAAAGGAAGCTGGGGGTATCGACCAAGTTTTATATGGCAAAACCTCATGGGAGTATAAGAATTTTTAATGAGTGGTGCTAGATGGAGGATCGGGAATGGGACTTCGATCAGGATACGGGGTGATCGCTGGATCCCTAGAGTAGAGAACAACTTTATCACATCGGCACCAAGAGGATTACCAATTGACTCATCAGTCTGGGAAATGATCGACCTTGAAACCGAACAATGCGACTGCACAACCATTGAAAGCTGTTTCACATAAGCAATGGTGAAGGCCATCTTGTGCATCCCTTTGAGGGGAGCATGAAATCTGATCGGCTAATCTATAATGATAGTAAGACAGTTGCGTCGGTTTGGGACGAGTATAGACATTGGCTAAAAGATTTTAAAATGCAAGAGAACGCCGAACAAGTGTGAGACGCTTCCTTGTGGAATAAACTTTGATCAATGAACATCCAGCCGAAGATCTGGCACTTCATGTGGCGTTTCACCCGTGACATTCTCACTACCGATGACCACCTAAGTGATAAAAGTGAGAAAAGAGGAGATGGTTAGTGAATGCGGTTGGACTTTTCGTTTATGGAGGCCAACGCACCTGGTCGAGTGTTTTGAGAAAGCAAAGGGCAGGAGCAGTATGGAATGGGTGGAGGAAGTGTTTCATATCATGGAGGAAGTTGCTTGCGAGGAGTGGTGTGTGTTGTTGTGATACTTCTGGAAGGAGAGGAATGTGCAGTGCTTTGACGGGATCAAAAGTGATGAGCTGATGATTGTCTCGTGTGCACAGAGAATGCTCCAGGACTATCAACAATATCAAGGCCGAGAGGTACCCCAACGCCAGACAATTTCAGTATTAGCATCTAGTGCTAGAGGTGGACTGTTTTAGCTTGATCCACATGCAGAACGAGGCGGATAATGTGCAAACAGAGGTCTGGGCTATCTGTAGAAGCATAAGACGATTGCTTGCTAGCTTATAAACAGGTTAAAGGCAACATTTTAAACGACAACAGAACATGGTCGTGCATGTGATGGCGCATTGTGAGACGAATTGGGATTCCGCAATTATATGGGTAGATAGACCTCCAATATTCCTTGTTGATTAGCTAAGGCTGGATACTGTAACCAATCTTTCTGATTAATGAAGGAAAGCAGGTTCCTGTAAAAAAATACTTCCTGATCAAACTCTCATTATTAGTATTTTGTTAAATATTAGGGGAAAATTAAAAACGGAATTATTCTTGTTAATATCAAAGGGAAAGAAGACAAAGCTGGAGGGATGTCGTGTCGGGTAGAATGGGTAAATAAGGAGCAATGTTGTATGAAGTAGAATAAACAATGTTTCCAATTAGTACATTTTTTTGAAAGGTTTGTTCATTAAGATACAAATGAGCCAGTCCCTATGAAAAAATACAAAACATGATACAAATAGAGAATGAAAATTACACAAAATCCTAGAAACCCAATAGGACCCCGTCAAGGCCACAACATGTCCAATAATCAAACCATAATTGCACTATGCTCCCAAAGAAATGGTCGATGCCGCTGGACGAAGCCAAGAACACCTACAACAACCACAAACATACTAGATCCTACCAAACAGGCTGGAGGCAGTGGAAACTCCAGCAAAACCTCGTCGAACCCATCTCGACGTCCACACACTAAAGAGAGAAACTCATATTGGAAGGCGTCAGACGACGAAACAGTGGGATGAATTTCGGTCTTCAAGATCTTCATTCTGAGTCCAGGCCGAGAGCCACATCTTCAAAACACCAAAATCTGCAAGGTGAAGCAAGGAGGTATACAAATGGGTGAAGAAGACAAGACAAGCCGAATCAAAACAGATCCGACCTCGTTTTCATTTTAGATCGACATCATCTCCTGATTTGAAAGAGACCAGAGGAACAAAAGTTCAACCCAACAAAGAGGATGAAAGAGACCCACGAAGGGGAAGAAAAAAGCCAAACCATGACCGAAAGCAGCAGAAAACTGAAGGAAACGAAAGCAATACAACAAACAGAAAATGCATCAGTGGAAAAGGGGGGAAGCAGTGGTAAAAAGTGAGAATGGGCTGCCGTCGGTCACCAAAATGGTGTCGGCGGCGCCCTTCAGTATCATAGCAGTGACTTCTTTAAGAGAGACGAGAAAAGAAAAAGTTCAAAGAGAAAAGGAAGAGATATTTCCAATTAGTACATAATTTTCTAATTTTATATGTTTTCCCTTTTCGGATTGTACTCGTTTCAGAAGCAAGATTGTCTTCTTCTGGCAGAATGTGATTGTGTTTACACCAAATGATACAACTATAAAGACCAAGAGTGTTTTTGTTTTGAATTTTCAGGAGGCCTTCATATGTAGGGAGCCCATAAATCGCTAGGGGAGGGGAGTTCATTTGTATGAGTCATTTGATACCAAATGACTCGTTTAACAACTAAAAAACAAAATGAGTCATTTGGTTCCAAAGACTAATTTTTTCTTCCAACTAACTATATTGTTTTTTCATTTACCCAATACTAATAATTTTCTATGTTGTATTGATAATCAAATAATTTTCCAATAATTCCAAAAATATTTTACAATTATTATCCAATAATACAATAAAATAGTTGTTACTATTTTGGAGATCGGTTTTCAACTATAAGTTAGGTATGTTTGCAAATTAATTTAGTTTGGAACAATTATAATTTGTGAAGAGAGTTGACATAAAATTATTGTTCAAATTAAAAAGTAGTAGCACATTAAACTCGTACCAAAATAATATATTTATGACTCACCACGGATACATCGCAAGTTAATCCCGACTAGAGTCCAAGTTTTTGAGCTCTAGCCGGGTGCAACATAGGGCAAGTATGTTTTAATTGTCAAACTGGACACGTCCATGTATGTACCCCTACTTCAATCGCTTAGTTTGTTATCTAGCAACCGTTTTGGGTTTAAAACTAAGAAACCTACAAATGAAAACAAGCAAGTAAAGTAAATCGAGGTTGTCCCAATGAGAGAAGAGTTCACCCGGGTGTTGCTCCCCCTAGCTAACTATTACGAATTGTTGGATCGAATGTTCATGTGTGGTGAGGGGTTGTAAACCGTAGAGAAGTGTAACAAGTAGCCATGCGCCACTCTCTTGGTCTCTAGGGAGAGGAAAAGGGAAATGATTTAAGCCACCAACGTGACTCTATCTACCTATTAACAAAGGGTTGGTTAGACTTCACCCTCGAATCGGAGTTCGGACGGCCACCCACAACCAAACCTTAGGTGCTAATACGAAATAAGAGGTTTGCACTACATTAACCTAGATAGGAGACAATGGATTGCCTAAGAAAACCCAGCATTCAAGCCTCTTTCAAAGAAAGGAAGAGGGTTTTCTCTCTACTTAGGTTAGAATGACAATTAGATTTATAGGCTTTCACACAACACAACACAATCATTAATGAATAATACATCCACATTCACATTGAACACAACCACACACAAATCATTCAATTCATAAAAACATTCACTTAATTGTAGCTAGGGTTTGATAACACCCAAGTGAATATGTAGGCAATTGCATAGCTATGCAAAGGAAAACAAGGAAATGGAGAGAAAGAACAATGAAGAGATGAAAATATTTACTCATTGATGCTTGAATCTCCCTTGAGAAGAAGAAACTTTCACTCCTCTAACTTGAAATGAGCCCAATCTCCTTCTTCCTCCTTTGAATGACCCTTTCTCTCTAGAATAGGAAGGGGAAATCCTAATATCTCACTAGAAACCCTCCTTTATTCTGAAACTAAAACCCTAGAAAAAAGCTTCCTTCTTCTTCTTCGGCTCTCTTCCCCTTTTATACCCAGATCGGGCTTAAATCACGGTCTTAGTTCACGGTCGTGAACTGAAATCCCAGACCGTGAACCGACAATAAAACACGTCGCATCACTTAACTCTGTTCACGGACAGAGGTAGGAGTTCACAGTCTTACGACCGTGAACTGGCTCGTGTCCAGTGAAAACCTTCTGTGCTCTGGATGCCTGGCAGTTCGCGGGAAACGCCTCCAGTTCACGATCTTAGTAACCGTGAACTGTTGTTGTTTCCACCGTTTGACTTGATCTTTCTCCTTTTCGTCCAACTTTCGACTCTGGGGTAGGTTTCACCTGCCAAAGCCTGGAAAACATCAAAACAAGGCACAACCTAGCGTAAAACCAAACCTCCCGGAGTAAAAATGCTTCAAACGACTAAGCAAACCGGGGGTAAAAAGTGTACAAATGAGCCCGAATCAATTTATCTTTGTGATTGATTTTATTAGGATAAGAAACAAAACAATGAACCATACTTAATGTAATAGCAAAATTGTAGCACTATACCAACCACTCATCTATAAACTTTTAAACTAATAACATATTTACCAATATCTAATATCCTTAAATGAATACATTTTTTAAACGGGTAAATTCCGCATTTGGTCATTGGGATTACTAAATCGTGTCATGTTTAGTCACTAGAAAAAATCAATATCAATTTTGGTCACTTAAATTACTGGAACAAGTCACATTCAGTCACTCTCCGTTAGTCTCCATCCAATTCCGTTAAAAAAGTCTGTTATGTGCTGACATGGCTAACGAGAGCGTCTAGTCAGCGTCATTTTGGGCTAAAAATGGTCAAACACGACCCGCCACATCACTAAACTTGCCATGTCATACACCCAACTCAACTCAACCCAACCTGTCCCAGAACCAAACCCGACCCACTAAAGAAAAGAAAACCTGCCATCTCATCCTCCACCCTCATCTCCCAATTTCGTTCCTCCAGCAGCCACCTCCGTCGGCGCCAATCTGCTATGGCGTCCAACTTCTCCCACATCTACATCATCCACGAGCTTTCCTCCCGGAAGCGCCAATCACCGCCTCGCGGCCTACGACCTCTGATCCCTCACCCACCGCTTATCCCCTGCTCCTCCCCCACCGCCGCCACTATGGAAACCAACTAGATCGGAGAAGCCCCATTCTCGATCGGGAGAACTAGAAGAAGAAGAGACAAATAACTGAATATGCTCTAGAAAGCTCAGATTTTGGGCCCGATCTTTCATCATCACATAACCCCCTCGCCTCTTTCTCGCTGTACACACAATACCCTCTCTTCCCACATCTCCGTCGCGTAGCTTCTCTCCGCGAAATACGCCTCCACAGAAGCGATGGTTTCCTCTCCTCCTCCGCCAACAATGGGTTCCACTCTAATAGGAAACCGCTCGTAATGGTCGCGTGCCGTACTCTCGAGCTCGTCCAGGTGGGCGAGTCCCCGGGCGGAGGAATGGCATGCGGTAGGGCCTGCAGACGAGTGGGTAGGGTTCGACGGTCCGGAAATTACAGCGGAAGGACGCGTCGTCTGTGCGCATGTCGAAGGGAATCGGTAGATAAGGGTGGAGGGGAGAGATGGCGGGTTTGGTTTTGTTAAGTGGGTCAGGTTTGGTTCTGGTTCGGGTTTGGTTTATTGGTTGGGTTGGGTTGGGTGTATGACATGACGGGTTTAGTGACGTGGTGGGTTGGGTTTGACGATTTCTGTCCTAAAATGGTGCTGACTAGGCGCTCCCGTTGGCCATGTCATTACATAACGAACTTTGTTAACGGAGTTGGACGGAGACTAACGAAGAGTGACTAAATGTGACATGTTTCAGTAATTTGAGTGACCAAAATTTATATTAAATTTTTCTAAGTAACTAAACATAACACGATTTAGTAATTCCACGTTAGAGCCACAATCCACTAAGTCTCGGATCTGGGCCGTCCATGAAGTGTGCTGATTGATCCAACGAGTTCAGCATTTGAGTGAAAGCAGCCCAATAAAATTGATCGAAGCCCTTTTTCCCCCTTTTCTCCTCCGCAGTCCGCACACCAATGACAATGGTGCACTATATCTTACGATTTGACAAGGACAGTCAACCTGTCGTTTACCTCCCGACCCGACGGTTTAGCGTCAATTTGGGCGGACACAAAGCAAGCCCCAGCGTCGGGCCAGCACCAAACAAACTAGCCAGCCAATCGGCCATCCATCCCCTCAGCCGAATAACAATAAGATGATTTCCCGCCCTTCTTTGCTCCACATTCCGCCACGTGTAACTCCTACGTCCGCTCCCTCCCCGCACCATTTCTAACACAGCCTCTCTCTCTCTACAAAGCTTCCATTTCCCATTCAGCAACCAAACCATTCACAGTTTCACACAGGACAGTCCCCACTCTCCACTGTCCGTAGCCACTTTCCGGTGCGAGAGCGAGTAGATATTTTCTCTCTCTTTCTCTTCGCCTCTTTAGCGGCGTAAAGGCGGTCCTGTGCTCTCGTTTCGGTTGCGGTTCCGTTATGGAAGCGGCACCACAGCTCGTCTATGGCGGGATTGAGCCTCGCTCGTTTGCATCACTCGCTCGTTTCTCTAGAGCTTCGGTCAAGGTGCCGGCACGGCGGCGAATCAGCCGCGTTATGGCAGTAGCGACTGAGCCGAAGCCGGCGCAGAGTGGGAAGGACAAGCCATCGCCGAATTCGAACGGCTCCGCGACGTCCGGGCCGGCTAGAATTCTTGTCAACGGAGCTTCGTCCAAGTCAGCGCCGAAGAGGCCCGTCAATGGAGCTGCTTCTACTGTAAGTACTTCCGAGCGATTGGTGTTTGATTAGGTTAGGCATCGATTTATTAGTTTGCGGCGTTCGGTCTGTATAAGCGAGCATTTGGTTGGAGGGAAATTGAGATCGAGAAAGAGAATCTGGCTTCAGTCTTCGTTTGACTAAGAATTTGAATTTGGAATGGGCAGAGGATGGGAGAGGTTTCGCAGGAGATCAAGAGAGTGAGAGCGCAGATGGAAGAGAATGAACAACTGTCTATCCTTATGAAAGGACTTAGAGGCCAGAATCTGAGGGACGAGCAGTTTGCTGATAACAGTATTAAGCTTCGCTTGGTGGAGGTAATGAATTGTAGCTTTCAATAAGTGTTGGGTGATTGAACCTATTGGTATTTTATGTGGACCTTGTACGTACACAGGTTGACGAAAGCAGCGAATTTCTGCCCACGGTGTATGATCCTGCCACCATTTCTGCTTACTGGGGAAAACGGCCTCAAGCTGTTGCAACACGCATTGTTCAGTTGCTCTCGGTGGCTGGAGGTTTCCTATCTCGCATTGCTTGGGATGTGATTAACAACAAAGTCAACGAGGTGAGTAATGGGGAAACCAAGCCCAGCTCCAACTTTTCCAGTGTAGTTTGTCTTCCTTTCCTTACTGAATCTTTCTATTTGAAAACCAGAATCAAGTGACTAGAGCCATTGAGTTAAGAGAGATTGTCACATCATTGGGTCCAGCATACATCAAACTTGGCCAAGCATTGAGTATTCGTCCAGACATATTGTCACCTGTTGCAATGACTGAGTTGCAGAAGCTTTGCGACAAGGTAGCTTCACCAGCTTTTGTCAATATGTGATGACTTTTATTCCATCTTCTTTTACCAATTTAAATTTAATGTATCTCGTTTAGCTTCCTACCTGCATTCAACCTCTTTAGTGTGGTGGCTGAAGTGTATCCACTTAGTCTTGTAGTTTGTGATTCGTCATTTCTATATGATAGTCGCTCTTAATCTATATGTCAGAGTTCATTGAAATGGATAAGTAAAGAACCCCTATGATTCTACATATTTCCAGCATCTTTTAGACACTAGAGTTCTCTGTTGCTGATTTTCTATTTGATGATGTCTGAAGGTTCCTTCATTTCCAGATGACATTGCAATGGCTCTGCTAGAGGAAGAGCTTGGACAACCGTGGCAGAATATCTACTCTGAACTTTCTTCTTCTCCCATTGCTGCTGGTATGCTCACCAAGAACAGAGTTAATCATTATGCTAGTCTCTGCATTCAGTGTTTAGAGATGGTAATTAACAATCATCCCTTCACATCCATGTGCAGCCTCATTAGGACAGGTATATAAGGGTCGACTAAAAGAAACAGGTGAACTTGTAGCTGTTAAAGTACAGAGACCATTTGTTCTCGAGACAGTAACAGTCGATCTTTTCGTCATAAGGAACTTAGGCTTGTTTCTGCGGAAATTTCCTCAGGTAGGATTTCAAACTTTATTTGGACTTCTGTGAGTAACATACATTGTCAGGATTGTCAGTAATGGATGGAGGTGATGATGTTCCTTTCCTCATTTTCATTGTCTCATCAGATCTCTGTCGATGTTGTTGGATTGGTTGATGAATGGGCCGCTCGCTTTTTTGAAGAGCTGGATTATGTTAATGAAGGTGAAAATGGAACTCTTTTTGCTGAAATGATGAGGAAGGACCTTCCGCAGGTGAGTTTAGTAGTTACAAGTTAGGACTTTGTTAGTATAATTGGATAAAATCTTTATTTGAGATCAGTTGTTTGGAAATGTAAGCATCTCTGGAAAATAGGCCAGAGTGAATTACGAAAAAGTAACTGGAGAAGAAACTATGTTCGGAACTCTTGCAGAAAAGATTAGCCAATTAGTTCTTACTCTGTTGCTCATTTACAGATATCATACAAAACTAGCGCAGAATTGCAAGATATGACATATGATTGCCATGTCTGATTACTAAGGATGCCAATTACTTGGTAGTTGTAGGTGACAGTCCTGACGTCAAAATTCATGAGTAAGAAATTGTCTCTTTTAGGTTGTTGTGCCAGCGACTTACCTGAAATATACTACAAGAAAGGTTCTCACAACACAATGGATTGATGGAGAGAAACTGTCGCAAAGCACTGAAAGTGATGTTGGATCATTGGTCAATGTTGGAGTCATATGTTACTTAAAGCAGGTATGCAGATGTAGAAGTAAAGAACAGCACTATGAACTATGTTTTACTTCAATTCTCATTGGACAAATAACTTATTCCTAATTTTTTGGAACTCTGTTTGATGATAGTTACTAGATACTGGATTTTTCCATGCTGACCCACATCCTGGGAATCTGATCCGCACACCAGACGGGAAGCTGGCTATACTTGATTTTGGTAACAATCTACTCAAGACCTTAGCATTTTACTTTCTCTTCAGTTCTTGTTTGTAATTGACTAAGTGCATATATCTATGAAAGGTTCCATATTGATCCTTTGGTATCATGGTGAATGGATCGAGAAAGTGAATTAATTGAACTGTACAGACGAATTTATATTGGGTTTCCTTTGTTCATGTTTATGGTGGATGCTTAAGCATGCTGTTGCTTTAACAGGTCTTGTCACAAAGCTAACTGATGACCAGAAATATGGGATGATTGAAGCTATTGCTCACCTCATACATAGGGATTATGATGCAATTGTCAAAGATTTTGTCAAACTTGGGTTTATTCCTGAAGGGGTTAATTTGGCACCCATTTTACCGGTACTGGCTAAGGTTTTTGATCAGGCACTTGAAGGTGGTGGTGCAAAGAATCTCAACTTCCAGGAGTTAGCAGCGGATCTTGCACAAATAACCTTTGATTATCCGTTTAGGATACCTCCTTATTTTGCACTGATAATCAGGGCAATCGGGGTGTTGGAAGGCATCGCTTTGGTGGGAGATCCTGAATTTGCCATTGTAGACGAGGCATACCCATACATTGCACAGGTAATAGAACTTCTCTGTAAATGATGTCTTCACGAATTATTTGTTTTATACTCCTAATGGGTATTACGACTTCCAAGCAAATAGTGTTGTTCTTATACTTCCATATATTGGTGAGTATTTCTGCATCTTTTTTGGTAGGACCTTTTGTACATTGCATGAGATTAAGGTCACTACAGAAGTATTATCTGTTGCCATGCTAGGTCGACAAACTGTCAGTTCATGCATCCATAACTGAAGTGGATGTATACTTATTTGAATGACTATACTGCAAATGTGCCTGTTAGTAATATTCTCAGACCTGTGAATGCTTAAACATTGTTGAATAATAGATTTGAAACTCTTGTGAATCACATCAAACTGGGACTTATCTTTTTGTTTGCTTGATCTCTTGTCATCTGTCAGAGGCTCCTTACTGATGAATCGCCTCGTCTGAAAAGTGCTCTGCGTTACATGATTTATGGGAAATCGGGTGTATTTGATGCCGAAAGATTCATTGATGTCATGCAAGCCTTTGAGACTTTCATCACGGCAGCCAAAAGTGGAGGAGGAGCGGAGCTGAACGGGGATATGGCAGGACTAGGCATCATGCGAACTGAAAGTATAGTCTCCTCTGCCTCATTTTTGCCTGCTTTTCCACTAGCAGCGACCCAACAAACTACCGAACCAATTCAAACAAGGGCAGCCCTAACCTTTCTGATTTCGGAGAAGGGAAACTTTTTCAGAGAATTCCTTCTTGACGAGGTAATGTACGATGGTGCCTTGGTGCTTACTAGTTCTGAGTGTGGTCTTCTGTTGTTGTCAAGGCTCCTTTAATGTTCTCTTGTTTCTTCTGGTGTATTTATAGATCGTTAAAGGAATTGACGCTGTGACGAGGGAACAGTTGGTTCAAATACTGGCACTTGTTGGATTTGGAAATGCTCCACCTGTCTTTAGCATGGTTCCTAGACCATTTAGACCAGCAGCTCTTCTCCCGAGCATAACCGAGGAGGACAAAGTCATCCTGAACAACGTCCAGAAGGTTATTGAGTTCCTAACTGCCGGGAGCTCACTCTCAAGCACATCCACTCAGGTACCTCCTTTCATTGTCCAAAGCAGAAATCAAAACCATCAGCGATTCAGCTACGAAAAGTTGATGTAACAATGATGGTTTGCTTCTCTTTATCTTCTACCAGGGGGGTGCCAACACAGCCCAGATTGTACGGGAGCTTCTTCCTGTTCTGCCCGGCATATCAGCCAGGGTGCTCCCTGAGGTAATCACAAGGCTCACTTCCAGAGTAGCTGCTCGGATAATTCGGGATGCATTTTTGTTGCAGTAATTAGTTCCGATGTGTACATAAGTTAGGTAACATACGAGATACATACAATGAGCATCAATTGTACAATGCCCTGTCTTTGAAGGAAGCGGATTTGGGATAACAAAAACAGATAGATGCATTATATGTAACCAGAGAGTTGAGTAAGGAGAGAAAGTGACCTCCCATTCTGTACATCATCTGTTCAAGTAAAGTGCCATTATTACACGGATGTACAAACACGTTATGATTTACTCATTCAGATTGTTTCCAGAACTCACGGGAATATTGGTAATCTCTGCTCTCCAGAGGCATATGAGATGATGCCCCTCTTCAGTGGTGAAATATAGTTTGCGGCATGAAAGGCAGCAGCACGCAACACATTAAGAGGCCCGAAATCAACAGAGTATATCTTCTGAAACCCGTCCAGCACAGCCATCATTGCAATGTTTGCTGGTTTCCTTTCTGCTTCATACTTTCTCAACAGTGAGACCTGCAACGGGAATAGCGAAGGAAATACAAAGTCCATCAGCCTTGAGATACCACTAGCTCTTTTCGTTTCCAGCAAAAGAGAGAACAAAAATGATGCATCACATCCAACCATTACTTACCTCCCCAATGTCCGTTCCTACTGCAACTCCCTCACCAATGATTCTGGACAGGGTAAATGCATCTCCAAAACCCAAATTAACTCCTTGGCCAGCTAAAGGATGAACAGCATGTGCTGCGTCACCAATGAGAACAATGCGTTTTGCCACGTAGTCATTAGCATGCATCAAGGACAGGGGAAATGCAGCTCTCTTGGAAGCCAACTTCACAACCTTTGGTGGAACCTCAAAAGATTCATTGGTCGACATTGTCAAGTTTCCTCCAAGGAATGAAAACTTGTTGCTGCCGTTAGAGAAGTTGGACTTGGGATGAGGGCCGTATCCATTATCCATAGCTTGATTTACAGCTTTCACAAACTCATCCTCATTCATCACCGTCAAGTCTGATGCCTGCTTCGGGCTCATGGTCCAGACAATATTGCTAAAATTATCCCCTATCGGCAAGAGAGCAATTGGACCATCTGGTAAAAACCTTTGCCAAGCAGTGTGATTTGCAACAGAATGTTCAACAGTACAGATTATGGCATTCTGTGAATAGTTCCACCCAGTTGTTTTAAATCCTGCTAGGTTCCTGACTTGCGACTTGGCCCCATCAGCTCCAACCTGGAATGAATGAATGAATGAATTTTAAGAAATATATGGGAATATCAGACAGAGACATGTCACATGTACGCAAGTATTCTTCTCACTGCAGCCAGCCTGTAATTGTCAGCAGTCATGGTAATAAATCTAGCTAAGAAGTCGGCATGGTCTGTATGTACACTTACCACCAACTTCGTGCACAGGCTGCTGCCATCACTCATTTCTAGCTTTACTAATCCCGCTTTCATGTATGATGCTTCCCAAGTGTTGTCATCTGCCTTCACTGAAGAACTTGGATATCGAATCATTGAAGCCAACCTAGAAGGGTAGATTGTCTTTTGGACGTCTGTATCCTGCAATCTTATACATTTGCATTCAGGATATAAACACATACTAGCCAACACAGGTAAAGATTATGAAGCACAGTTTTATGAAGGGCTTAACAAAGATAAACAGGGAGGCCCTAGCAGCATACAGAAAGGTTAGGAGACACTCCAAAGTAAGAAGGTCCACGTAAATATAAAACGAGTTACAGGGAAGAGAAATATGGGGGACCTAAAGGTAACTGGAAGTAGCACACATGGACTATGCAAATCTCAAAGAATAAAATATTAAACTGCAACAAAATATTTAGTTGAAGTAAAGGCAATGGAGCATACTGGAAATGTAAAGTGACCATTAAGCAAGGACATTACCTCGATACGCGATAACAAAGAGCTATGAAGCACTCGATTCTCTACCACACACCTGCATAATCATGCAGACATCTATATCAGTGAATGACGACAGCATGAAAGTGAACCAAGTTTGAGCTCCTAGGCCACAAGTCCGCATACCCTAAAACATCTTTGTTTACATCTCTGGCATCGTAGGTTGTATATCCTAAGCCAGTGTAATCCCAGACCTAGAAAACAAGATGAAGCATGAAACAGAAGATACAAGATAGTGCATCAGCTCAGAGCAGATTCAACAATACATTCACAGTGCAAACTGTTTGCTGCTAGTGACCATAGAATGAAAAAAAAAAAAAAAAAAAAAAAAACAAGAGGAAGATCCACATACATTCAACATAAGAAAACTTCCCTAATCCACTGTTTGATCTCGGTTATGTGCATGAACTAGTTAGGGGCAATGTTCCCCGATTAGCCATGTGACTCAAGTTCATTATTCGTAATAATTACATCAAATTCAAAGAATACAAGGAAAATGTGTCGGTAAGTATCAAATTAGAGTTAAAATGCCACCAAAGTCTATAGTTAATAAACAAGCAAAGGACATGCATCGGAAATGGGTTGTACCTGCATCTTATCAAAAAATGCATGTCGATGCTGTTGAACGTATTGCCAAGCACCAGCATCTGCAAAATGGAAGACATTACTGGGAGTGCAATACGTCGATTGAGTAGATTTGTGATCCGGACACAATATTTGTAATTTCAAGGAAAAATAAAATAGAACTTAAACAACCAAGACACAAAGGATCAGGACAAGGGACAAATGAAATAACATTCTGGACATCACACAGACTATCTATAATGATTTCCTGAAAGATTTCTGAGGAGCTCAAGAACCCCCTAGTGGTTTTAGCAATTGGTCTATAATACTCTATTGGTAACAGTGTTTTATAATGCAGATATGTTCCATGCTGGTCCGGTTACAGAATCAACACCATACTGAACATACCTTGGAAATAAGAAATGGTCGCCGGTGTCACCGTACTGACCCTTGGATCAGGTGGATCCTCCCTCTTGATAGAAAGCTTATTAGCCAAAGTAGGATTGCTATCAATAATGGCAACTTTTAGGTGCTTCGTCAGGGGCTTTGTTGCTGCAGGCAGATAAATTCAGAAAATTTCATCACTACAAGAATGTTTGGCCATCAAGGAGGCCTGTCAAAGCCTAATTGACAAGCAGGTAGTCACCCAAGTGAAAAAAAAAAAAAAAAAAAGAGGTTAATGCAAGAGTAGCTATTTCACAAAGACATGTCCGCTATACACACCACCTACCCAAGGAACAAGCTAGAGCCATCCCGACCATGCCTCCTCCAACAATAGCAAGGTCGTAAGGTTGATCATCTCCAGCGAAAGTCCTATCCTCCTGATTGATTATCTCAAAAACGATAGGGTTAGTGAGGTTATAACTGTAATTGCATTAACAGCACCAAGCACACTCTCTATGCTCCAAAAGAACAAACAATTCACAGAGAAGCGAAACCCAAGATACAAAATAAAAATACGGAAAGAAAGGACGGGATTATTGTACAAGGTTAAGCTGGCCGGAGGAAGCGCTTGACGCTGCTGCAGCAGCAGCTTCGCCGCCGCTACAGAAGCCTCTTTTCCATGAACACTTCAGTGGATGGTGATTTGAGTAAAGAGTCCTCCTCACCACCAATCTGCCATCAGCAATTTAACCATGACAAATATTACTTAAGAACACAAAAGGTACCAAACTCCGATTACCAGACGGGAAACGACTTGCGGGGGGCGGAAGGTGGAACGGTGAATCAGAATGGCAATGGAGAAAAATGAGAGTGAAGCCGATCGAGTGAACACGATATCGTGAATTCTCCAGACCTGTTCATTCTTGCAGCAGCTCTAAGCAGGGAAGGCGAGAGGGAAGCAAGCTCCGGCGGTGGCAGGGGCAGCCTATTCTTCTCCAAGCCTCCAACGTACATCAGTTTGAGAATCAAGTATCAAACCCAGTTCGGGTAAGGGCTCTATAACTAAGTCAATCTCAGTCATTAAACTTCATTAAAATTTAATGGTTGTAATTAATCTCGTTTAATAAAAAATAATGTAGTAATTTTAGATTTATTTAATGGTTAATTATTAAATACTTATAAAAAACATCCGCTCGATCGTTTTCCCCATAGGATTTTCGGTGATCGTCACCTCCGGCGGCTGTTGGGTTTCCGACAGGATTTTTCCCATTTTTATTCCGGCGGTCGTGATCGTCCTATTACGCCGGTGGCCGATGGAATTTTCATCCCCCTATTTCCCCATTTGGTTTTTGCGGTCGTACGATTTCCATCCCCCAATTCCCCATCCCCTACCTAGAGAGAGATATTAATGACCGGAAGATATTTACCGGCGACCAATGACGCCGGAGAAGGATCTTCCAGCGGCAGTGTTGGATTTGTGATGTTTGTTGACATATTTTTAGATCTGGCAAATTACAACCCGACCCGTTGACCCGACCCGAAACCGCCCGAAAACTATCAATTTTTGTAACCTGAGATCCGAATGACCCGAACCCAATAACCCGTGATTTTTTGGGTCGGGTTGGATGGGTTAGCGGGTCGACCCGTTAGACCCGTTTCATTTACATATCACTCTCAAATGATAAAATCACTCATAAATTGGCGAGATGTTTAAAAAAAATCACAAGGATTTGAATGACATGTTTGGGGTTTAAGGATAATCAAATATCATGTGTTTCTTGTAGTAGTATTACTCTTGTGATTGTTTTTTGACGATTTGCAATTTGTATTTCATTTCATTAGCGCGGGAGGATTTGAGAATACGTTAATTGACATGTGTTAGGTAAACTATTGTCATGCATATGTGAAAATTTGTGTTCTTTAAGAAAATATGAAGCATGTTTGATATTGTTTCTGAGAACGCTCATAACCCGAAATGACCTATAACCCTACCCGAAACCGAATGGGTTGGGTCAATATTTGACTCGAAAATAGCCAACCAAACATGACCCGACTCGTAACCGAAATCCCCAAGCCGAAATTATCCAACCAGACCCGATTGCCAGGTCTACATATTTTGTAATGTTTGTAAGTCGGGTTTGTAATGTTTGTATCGATTCGGTTTGTATTGTTTATCATTCTTATTTGTCATTTTTTAGTGACATTTTGTACGGTTAGTATGCTTTGTACGGTTTGCCGGTTTATTTTCTAATGTTTGTACGCTTTGTTATTTTGTAATGTTTGTCGGTTTCTTTTGTAATGTTTGTAAGTTTGTTATTTTTGTGCACCATGTTTATCATTTTTGTCAACCATGTTTGTAATGTTTTTTATGTCTAAAAAATAACCTAGTTGACTTTTGGATGGAACTCTTCTATATAGGGATCGAGCCTCCAAAGTCAACCCGGGTGTTTTTCCAGTTTGTAAGGTTTGTTGGTCTAGTTTGTCATTTTTGCCCACCATGTTTCTATGTCTAAAAAAACAACCGGGTTGACTTTGGAACAGAGCCCTCTATATAGGGATGAAGCATCTAAACTTAACCAAGTTTTTTTTTTCTTATTGTATGGATTGTATTGTTTGTTGGTCTAGTTTGTATTGTTTGTACAGTTCATACGTTTGTAATGTTTGTAAATCTGTTTGTATGTTTTGTCGTTGCAGTTTGTACTGCTTGTATGGTTTGTACTGATTGTAAGTCCGATTTGTATACTTCGTAATTTTCCATAATACCCAAACTACCCCTACCATTAATTAAATAGCCCTCCCCACTTTTTAACCATCAGATTGTTGTGTCCAGATCTAAGGGCTGGGAGGGGCTTAATCAAGTAACTAAGCACCCCCCTTAGTCACAGGATCCGAACCCGTAATACTCCCGGTCACTTTTTGTGTGAACCTCCTCACAAGCAAAGATGTCAATCGGGTGAGATCGGTTGGGTTGGTTATAGGTTCGTCCGGTACGAGTCAATTGAATTGTGCCTTGTCAGTTATTTTGGTTACCAGTTAGTTGGGTAGCGAATAAGTGGCTCCACTCGATCTAATAATTGAGTGCAAATCTTATATGACTAAGTATGGGTTAGTGTCACATTTGTTCACAGGCTCGAGTTTTGTTCTGGGTCGGGTTGAGTTAATGGGTTGGGTTGGATGTATGACATGGCGGGTTTAATGGTGTGGTGGATAGGGTTTGACCATTTCCGGTCCAAAATGCCGCTGACTAGGCTTTTCCGTTAGCCACGTCAGCACATAACGGACTCCATTAACGGAGTTGGACGACGACTAACGGAGAATGACTAAATATGACTTGTTTTAGTAATTCGAGTGACCAAATTCGATATTCATTTTTTCTAGTGACTAAACATGACACGATTTAGTAATCCTAATGACCAAATGTGGCATTAACCCGACTAAGTAGCTGGATTTTATTGGGTAATGACTATTTATTAGGCAAATATTTTTTGGATTCTTTTTTATTAGTCAAACCTATCGAAATACTAAAAATTAGCCAAATGTTAACTTTCATTTATCATTTATCAATTTTGTTAGTAATATTGACTTGACAACATGATACAAACTTGGAAGAGACACATGAAGGTCAACATTCCAAAATTTAACTAAGAAAAAAATTAGAAAATTATTAGCAATAACGTAAAAATGATTAATATTTTGATTCATTACGAAAGATTTGACTAACTAATAACATTTTAATAGGTTTGGATAATATAAAAAAATCTGAAAAAATTGAATAAAAAATAGACATTGCCTTTTTTATAAGAAACCTGACTATATTAATCAAAGGGTTAATAGCATTTTATGCACCTCTATTATTGTAAGTTAACAATCATACCCTTCTATTATTTTTTGCACTTTCGTGCCCCTTTATCATTGCAACGGAACAAACATACCCTCTGTCAATATTTCCATCAGTTGACCGTTAAATGACATACGAAATGACTATATTGCCCCTCTTTTTAACTTATAAAATAATTATTTTAAACACAGAAAATTATTATTTTAAACATAGAAAATGAACTAATAATTTAATTTCTTTATTTTTAGGAATCCCATCCTTTCAATATCTATCGTCTCGAACTCTTTGTATACATTCACAACTGTCCATTTTTATCATCGACAACTTTGGCAAAAAAATGTCCTCCAACGTCGCGCAAGGGTCCGATGAATATCTACGACTAGCTTACTACTCCCCCACTCCTCCGCCATCGCCGGCCATCGCAGTTCACCATTCTGGCAGCAACAACCTTTTCCTCTGTTGTTCTATTGTCATCTGCTCCGCCCAACTCTTCTCCTAAACTAAGACCCAAGTGATAGAAGATTTAAATTTTTACATACAACCCTAACCCTAACCGTAATAAAATAAAATAAAATAAAATAAACATGAGGGTTTTCAGAAAACATCTAAAGATGAGATGAAGGAAAGAGAAATACCTCTGGGAATAGTTGTTGCCTCAGCATGATAAACATCCCGCCATAGTTGCCTTTCACTACAAGAAGCAGACTTGCCGCTCCTTTCACTTTGACTGCTAATTTCCGATTGAATTCTCACACCAAACCCGGAGCTTATCAAAACCGCAACAATCCAAACCCTAATTGTTCAAGCTCGAGTTCATGGAAGGACACAGAAGTTCTTTTGTCACTCTCTCTCTCTACTGATCAACGGAGGAGTAGTTGGGCCTTAAGTTTCTGAAGATGAAGATACAGGGTCTGTGCGATGAAAGAAATTGGAGGGGAGTGGTAGAAATTGGGGAAATTCAGAAAGTAATACTAAATTAAAGAGTAAAATAATTACTTTATTTTTTATATTGAAAAAATTATATCATAAGTTAGAAAGAGGGACAATATAGTCATTTCGTATGTCATTTAACGGTCAACTAATGAAAATACTGACAGAAGGGTATGTTTGTTATGTTGCAATAATAAAAGGACACGAAAATGCAAAAAAATAATAGAAGGGTATGTTTGTTCACTTGCAAAAGTAGAGGGTTATAAAATGTTATTAACCCTTAATCAAATTGATCTAAAAGTGAAGAATTTGGGTCCAATTCACACGCAAAAATCTCTCCAAAATCAATTTGCTCATCCAAACAATCCTAACACTATGTTCTGGAAGGAGAGAAAGGGAAGGAAAGGGAGGGAATTGGGAGTTTCGAGGTATTTTCCCCGTTCTCCAAGCCATCAACAATAAGGAGGGAAATGAAAGAGGAGAGAAGATTTCCTGTTCCAACTGACCCTCCAAAATGGAAGGAAAGTTGCTTTCCTCTGCTCCACGTCTCTCCTTTCTTTTTTCTTTTCATTTTCTTTTGTTTATCTTTCCCAATGAAAGGTAGTAAATTATTATTAAATGACATATAAAAACCATTAATGAGTAACATTGATTACCATAATTACTACGTTGGTAACTGGTAAGTAGTAGATGATAAAAATTATATTTTCTCTTTTCTTAATTATATAAGCTTTAGTAATTATCATTCACGTTGTTCTTTATTGTTAAAAGCGGGCTATGTTATGGTATGTAAGTTTTGACATATATTGTAATTAAACTCCTACTTCTTAATTGATATAAAATATTAATCTTTTCAATATAATTTGTGAAAGTATATTTCATATTTGCCAAAAAAAAAAAACATATTTCACATATTTCGAACTGTACGGGCGGCTCAACTAGACCACAACAGACCAAACCGATCGATGACACCAAATTGAGTAGAATGCGATCTTACTTGGTCACATGAATTTTATAATTGTTGAAGGAAAATTGAAACGAATCAACATTTGGATTAGATCAAATGAGTGATTTACATCACGTATAATATTCTTTTACGTTATACAGAAAATTGTTATGTGAGATATTAAAGTGTGTTACTTTCCTAGTAAAAATGACACCAGAGTGTGAAATGTATATAATGAAAGTTATCTTGTATCTTGTACAACTTAGGTAACCAATTTTTATGGGAAAAATATTAAATCAAGTTAAAATAAACATTTTTCAATACACATTTTCCTTTCACTTTCCTCCATGGAACAACATTTTCTCTCCCTTCCAAATGTTCCTTCCCCTCCTTTTCCCTCCCTTCCAAATGTCCATTCCTCTTCATTTTCCTTCCTTCTTTCGAGAACAGAGTGTAAGTGAACATCATGGTATTGATTTGCAATCACAAGATTGATAGTTGGTAAACCCCGTTGCTTTTAGTTTATTCTTCCAATTCTAACATATCCAAATACTGACACAGCTCATATTTGCTCTGGCATTAATATTTGGGGTAAATGCCTAAATGATGTTTAATTTTTTAATTCGGCTTTTGTTACGGTTTTTTCTTATAGTTTAGAAATATTTTTGTTGATGTCAAGCTCTAAGGAGCCTGCTTCAATGTGTTTAAGGTTCGGTGAGCGCTGACTTCTCGACCAACGTCCGCCACCAACATTTGAGATGGACACCTGCAAAAAAGGACCCGCCCGTGGTGGTCGGTGGGGACCTTCTACGAAGCTCAAGTTAGTATTTGATAGGAGAGTAACCGAGAGTGGCATATTGAGCCGGCTCTAGAGAGATATTTAGAGTTCAACCGAAAAAATGAATGACACAGAAAGTATAAATAAACATCTTATTTATCGGCACCTCCTACTTCTGGCGTATGAAGAATAATAAAATAAAAATAATATATTTACCACCCAACCAACCCGAGTGCAATGGATGGTTGGCTACTTACTAATTAAGTACGATAGAAGAAAGAAAGTAAAATACTTACCTTACTCGTCGATGGTGGGGAGTAAAAGAGAGGTTAAACCTACCATAACACTCAAGACTTTCCTTTCTTTTTCTTGACACATGGTCACACAGGTGGTAATATTAATGGCAAACAATTAATTAGTCCAACTCATCATTGCACCTCATCTTTGTTACAGTGGAGTGGTATGTGTACCAGTGGAGTGGTACATGTACCAGTGGAGTGGTACATGTACCAGTGGAGTGATACGTGTACCAGTGGAGTGAAAGTGGAGAGTTTGAACAGTGGTGAAAGTGGAGAGTTTGAACAGTGGTGAACAGTGGTGGAAGCGGCGACAGAATCTGAAGGTGAGGGCGGTACCACTAGGCGGCAGAGGAAACACACCAATGGACTGGTACATGTACCAGTGGAGTGGTACGTGTACCAGTGGAGTGATACTAGTGGAGTGGTACTAGTAACCATATGTCCTGTTTAGGCTTAAAAAAAACTGTGAAGACTTTATGTTTATTCACATTCGAAGGATAATTTATTGCTTTTGGCATTATTGTTGGCATTTCCCTGATTTTGCAACCCATTTTGGAACACAACTTTTGGCTACTAATGGAAAGTTCCTATTTTGTTGACTGATTTAAATGTTTATTGTGTTGCTTGTGCCAGAATTATATTTCATGATCAAGTAAGTATGAGTATTGGTATATTGAGGACAGTCTTAATTAGTATCAGTTCAGTGGTATAAGTACCAGTATAGTGGTATAAGTACCAGTTAATTGATATGTATACCAGTCTAGTGGTATAGTACAAGTTCAGTGGTATATATGTACCACTGAAGTAGTATGATTACCGCTGAAGTTGTGCGAAGACCATTTCTATTAATTACTCGTCGGCAAAGATATTTCAATGACATTGAAAGAAGTTAACCAATAATTACGAAAAAAGAAAAATAATAAAATCAATTCCAAACTTCAAAAGTGGTGGAGACCACAATATTTTCATGACGATGTATTCCAAACTCCACTGGTACACGTACCACTCCACTGGTACACGTATCACTCCACTGGTACACGTACCACTCCACTGGTACATGTACCAGTCCATTGGTGTGTTTCCTCTGCCACCTAGTGGTACCACCCTCACCTTCAGATTCTGTCGCCGCCACTTAGGGTTGATCGTATCTCTACCGTGGAAGGACGGTGGTCAACAGGAAAAGATCAAGCGCAGGCCGTGGATAAGAGGAAGTTGTTGGAAGGTGATGTTTGGGATGGAAGAAGGAGGATGGCAGATGGCAGACGGCCGACGACATGGATGGTTGGACTTGTTGTAAGGGCGGGGGGGATATCTGCCAGCCGTGTAGTGATGAACCAGAGCTATGATTCTCCACGGCAATGGAAAGAAACAAGGGGAAATAGCAGAGGAGGGAGGGGGGAAATAGAAACAAGGGGAAAGGGAGTAGAAACGCCACAATTTCCATCGAGGTATCCAGCTAAATTGCCCCTTCCCGTGCATAATTAATATGACAGTTAATCCTTTCTCCATCCATATTTATTTGGGACAGCCATTAATACTTGTCTAATAATTAAGTATAAAACTGACCAATCAAAAGGAGGGTGTCGAAAATCACTACCCCTTTAGGGATTAGCATAGTATCCGACCCCATACTTACCTCTCATCTTTTCCTTTCCTAAGTATAAATGAATGGCAGTAGGGAAGTGGATTGTTTGGGATTAATAATTTGACGATTAATCATGTAACCCATCTACCTCATGTCCACGTGTCCAGAGGAAGAGGATTAAGTGGCCTTATTTGCGTATAGTAAGCAAGAAACTAAATGTCATTCACCCAGCCAACAATTCTTCCCTTGGCACGTGTTGATAAAATATGAGATGAGTTGCTTAAAGAAACTTCATTTTCCATCACTTCCTTTGCTACGTGCATGTCATTGTAGAAACTCTTCATGGCTGGTTAATTAGAGTGACTCATCTTGTTACTAGCTTGGTCTATACCCGACCATGAGAGGAGAAATGGGGTGGAAATACGCAGTTGCTTCATTCCTTTCCACGTGGTTTTACCATGGGGAAGTGGATTTGGAGTGTATGCTTGATGTACATAGACAAAATACAAAATGCAACGCAGTATTATTTGCTAGTAGCTCTATATGTAAAGAAGAAGTAAAAAGGTGTATTTTGTAAATTTTTGCTATTGCTAATTAGTTCCTGATAAAAGTCATGTGGTATATGATGTCGGTTTAACACATGGTCTATCAATTTCATTCAAGTGTTGATTGTTATGGTTGTTAGTTCTTCCAAAAAAATAATAATAAATATGATGTTTCTTGCATAAAAATTATCAATTTTTCCCTTAGCTCCACTTCCTCTTTTACGATGCACAATGATAATTCCTTTCGCACGTAAGAAATGAATAAGAAAAAAATAGGATACCTTTGTCTCAATTCTCTTGACGGAGATAATGACTGCTATTGGTGACGATTCATCCTATATGGTGATTGATGAGCTACAATATTCTCACACATTGTATCGCCAAATTTACCTATCTTTGGTCAAAATACACATTTAACATAAATATCCTCCTTTAGGAAACTATGTTCTACTTGATCCCCATAGACGACATCAAAATCTGTAACCATAAAATCCCTTTCTTTCTAATTTTTTGTAATATAAATCTGTTAATGATTTTATCGATAATGGATGACTAGATAAGAAATGCACTTTATGTTTCACATATCAACATAACTAATATTCTTTTGTAATAAATTACTAGTTTCGGTAGCAAAATAAATTCAGAACGGTGGAACAATATTCATTTATTTAAGTTCAAACTCGAAATATATAACCGTAAAATACAACATGCTTCAAGAATCAAGTTGAAGCAAAAGGCGCACTATATTTTCCTTGAGACCTCCCCAACTCCAACCAGTGGCCATAGTAACTATAGGCCCACGAAGCAAGCAAACGCACGAACCCAATAACAGATCCCACAAATAGAAGTTGGGCCGAACAAAAAGCATGTAATCGCAAGCTATAGCACCCAAGCCCATCATCACCACCCCACAACCTCAAATAGCCACACTGTGCAAGACCACGGTCTCAATAGTAAGCCCAGGCCCAAACCCAAAAAGCACACCCCAATCCAGCCCTTCTCCCGTCGTGCTGCACCCATTCGCAGCCGACTTCTTCCTCATCTCGTCCAAAATGAACAACACACATGCGCTAGACATGTTCCCGTACTCCGCCAGCATGTGCCTCGTTGCCCGGAGCTTCTCTTCCTTGAGCTTCAACTTCTCCTCCACCTGGTCCAAGATCGCAGGCCCACCGGGATGCGCTATCCAAAAAAGCGAGTTCCAGTCCGAGATCCCAAGGGCTTGAACGCATCGTTCAAGCACTTGTCGATGTTCTTGGACACAAGCCCAGGAACGTCTTTCAGTAAGTGAAACGTGAGGCCCACCTCGCGAAGGTGCCCGTCGATAGCACCGTGGCTATCAGGGACCAGCGTCTGGGCTATGAAGACGAGCTCAAAGATGGGCCTCTCCACCAGCGGAACTGGATCCGAGCCCACTATAACAACACCGGCTCCATCCCCGAACAGGGCCTGGCCTACTAGACTGTCCAGGTGGGAGTCACTCGGCCCGCGGAACGTCACAGCCGTGATCTCGGAGCAAACCGCGAGTACGCGCGCACCCTTGTTGTTCTCAGAGAGATCCTTGGCGAGGCGGAGGACGGTGGTGCCGGCGAAGCAGCCCTGCTGGTACATCATGAAGCGCTTGACGGTGGGGCGGAGGCCGAGGAGGTTGGTGAGCTGGTAATCGGCCCCGGGCATGTCGATGCCGCTGGTGGTGCAGAAGATTAAGTGGGTGATGCTGGACTTGGGTTGGGCCCACTCCTTGATCGCCTTGACGGCGGCTTGTTTGGCAAGCTTGGGGACCTCGGCGACTAGGATGTCCTATCGATCGTCGAGAGATGGCTCCATGTAGGAGCACATGTTGGGGGTGCTCTTTCAGGTAGTCTTCCGTCAGGTGCATGTAACGCTTCCTGATCATGGATTTATCGCCTATAGTACGTATGTAGTGTACACGCAAATCATGCATATATCACCATCGTTATCATGCATTAAGGGGGGGAAAATTGGTAAGGGTCGTGTCGTGGGGGGCGGGGCGGGGCTTACACATGCGCTGGAACTTGTGTTTGAGCTCGGTCATGTGATCGCTGTTGGTGATGCGGAAGTAGTAGTCGGGGTAGGTGCTCTGGTCGACGCAGTTAGCCGGAGTGGCGGTGCCGATGGCGAGGACGGTGGCCAGGCCGTCCGCCCGTTGGGCCTTGCGGAGCTCATCCACCGTGATGCTCGCCATATATATATGATCTTCAATAAAAAATAAGAATTATTATTGTGAATTAAGTATGTCGATGAAGAACACGTACGGTGAAGAAGGTAATTGAAGGGAGAGGGAGAGAAGGGGGATGTTTTCGTTTGCTGGGGCGGTTTATATAGATGGAGAAATGGGTTTTGGGTTGGACCGGTATGGACAAAGGAAAAGGGACGGTTTCAGGCCGGTTTTTGGGGGGAGGGGTAGCTGAGAAGTCACGTGCATGGTGAACCGATGCGGTTGAAAGGAGGGAGTGGAAGTTGCTGATGAGCCGGCGGCACATGACAAGTGATAGATACAGCTGCCTGCATATATATTATTATATGGTACGTGGAGGGAGCCGCGGGGATTTTGTTTGTTTGGTATTTTGCTACTGTTTCCGTTTTTGTTTTTGTTTTTTGCCCCTAAACATGATGGTAAGTATCGTATTGGTGTTTGTTTGATGTGATCTTTTTAATTACTTACTTACCTACCTACCTATCAAAGTATGGATTGCAGTGATGTGGCCTTTTTACTTACTTACCTACCTACCTGCCTAGCAAAGAAAATTAATCAAAATTGATATTGGGTTCGGACCAAAGCATACCAAACGTACTATTATTAATTCGATCCTTGGTTCTAGAACGTCTTTCACCGTTGGACCGCCCCATTGGAAACAAGCTATTTGGCTGTTACTAGATATAACTAGGTATTCAAATCAGTGCTATAGCTATTATGGAAATCAATGAAAGCGGTAGAACTACTCTGGTCATCATTGTCATTGTTGCTGTTTTGTTTTCCCAGCTGGGTAAGGTACAATCTTCTTTCCTTGTGGGGTTCGTCTTTGTAAATTGTATGGCTCTCGCTAGCTCCAATATAGGGTTGGCTTGATTTTCCATATATACACATCCCTTACTCACCATTTGTACCTACCAGCAACTGGTAGAGACATGACATTTCCCCCCACGTTGTTTGGTTGCCCCAATACGTCATACAAATTAACATAACAATAGTACTAATTGTCACGAAAATGAATCATATAATGCATCGACCAGTTAAAATACATTGATGCAATTATATATGTAGTATCAATGTTTGTCACGAAAATAGATCATGCATCGACCGAGTTATGATCAGGGTTCGAGAAAGCGCAATTAAGTGCTCGCCTAGGCTCAATTAAGCGCTAGGCGATGAAGGAGCGCTTTGACTTGGCCATTAGCGTGGGAAAATGCGTTGGGCGCGCTTAATTAACAGGAAATAGCGACTAGTCGGTGGGAACAAGATTAAGAGGCAGCTAGGCGAGCGGAATTGGGGCAAGGCGTTTGCTCCACAAAATCCAAACGCAGCCGTTTTCCCCATATATCCCTCTTGGTATTAGACTAGCTAGAAGAAGCACCAAATACTCTTGCCTCTACCTCTACCTCTACCTCTACTCTAGGTTATAAGCTTATCGCTTTCTGCTATTCTGCTGTTCTTGCTGGTTTGGTGGGAGAAGCTCACCGCCGTCACTGCTTGGAGACGGTCGACAATGTCAATGTTAGTTTAGTTAACAATAAAATAGAAATGAATCAATTACGGAAGAGGGATGCTTGATTGTACTTTTTTCCGCATGTGCTCTGCTTCTTAATCACTAAACAAAAAGCAAGTTCAGTCCGCAACTTATGTGGTAGTTAGTAAAATACGGTACGAGTAAGTTACGCATAAAATATATATGAGTATTTTACTTTTGTCTAAACTATGATATGTTTAATAGTATATCAATATTTATAAATATATAAAATTATATAAATAATAGTTAAGTTAGCAATTTAATTCATTAAACGCGAAAATTAAATGTGTTATACGAGTTTTATAAGTGTTTAATACGAGAGTAATGAGCAAAACGTGAAATGATTGGGCAATAATACGGATACGAAAATTGTAAACTAATAAAATATGTATGACCATATATATCTGTATTAAATCGAGTATTTACTAATTATGTTATGTATAATTATATGTATATATTAAGTTATTAACTTGTGGCTTTTGGATGAGAATCATTTGATTACTCTAAAAAAGCTATAAGAGAAGAGACAGCCGGCCCCTTGTTTCTTTCCTTGGTGGGTTCTAGAAATGGACAAATCAAGGTGCCGAGTATTGTTTTGTTTGTCTTTGTTCACTCTAGAAAATGGGGTTCAATTCGTTGGTTGAGGGTGGAAATAGAGTTCCTTGTTTTCTGCTGGTGAGTGATAAATGGATAATTAGTTGGTGTTAGTCACAAATGGATAATTAGTTGGTGGATGGATATATTTGGATGATGAGGAATGATCTTGTTTTATGTGCTTATTGTTCAATGTGACTTAAGTGTTTATGATTTTCTATGAACTTATGATAATATGAGGTTATTCTAGACAATTGAAAATTATGAAAAACAATTTTATTTTGTTTTGAACGCCTAGGCACGCTTAAGCGACGCTTAATTGAGCTAGGCACAAGTCAGGAGCGCAACACCTGCCTTACGCCTAACACCTTTTTGAACCTTGGTTATGATACATTGATGCAAGCACATATGTAGTATAATTTTGTCATGAAAATGGATCATGCATTGACGAGTTGAGATACATTGATGCAATCATATATGTAGTATCAATGTTTGTCACGAAAATGGATACTACATTGATGAGTTAGGATAAATTGATGCAAAGCACATATGTAGTATCAATGTGTATTCATATAGGATGTAAAATTAGGTTTCGATGTATATTTAGGAGGTAGCTTTATTACTGTGTTATAAGTTTCATTCATTTTATTCAAGGTTTTGAGAGCACAATGGAGCAATTCGCAAGCACCCATTTTAGGGGAAAAAAGGTCGGGCACTCGGGAATATTCTTTGAGGCCACAACAGATATGTTACACGACATCCGGCCGTCTTCAGAGCACCACGTAAGATTACGAGCCTCATAGTAAGGTCATGTGCATGGCATGGCTCCTCCGGCCCCGATCTAGCTAGCATGAGAAAATGAAATGCTCGCTCGCTCGCCCGCCGTTGGCCAGGCCCATATGATACGAGACAGAGAGCCCAAAAATGTGTCCTGTAGCAATTAATGATCTTTTTGTTTTAGTTTCCCCGGTCAAAAAATGGATTTTCTATCACGGCGAAATGAACCACCGCAAGACGCACAACCAAATGCACCGGGACATCCCTTCTGGCAGAAATTGATGGGGTTTCTTGGCAAGAAGTTGCCGTATTTGACTATTTTTCAAGCGTAGTTCTTGGTCTTCTGGGGATTCTGAAAACACATGTAATTGGTTTTGAACGTGTGAGGGTGTTTTCTACGCCGGCTGGTCAAATGGGAGAAAGATGTCACCCCGGACCGATATTACATAATGCTACATGACGTATCATATCTTGAACAGTTTTTGGGGAATGTGTTAATAAGTAAATTAAAGGATTTTTTTCCCCCAAGAAGTTGAAGATCTTAATTGAGGAAGAAAATTCTTCAAAAATAATCGTGTCGAATTGATGTTTTCTCAAGTCATCGATTGGATACAATTTTTCGCCTTTGAACATAAGATTTGGTTGGCCAGTATGCGTACTCGTTGATATAAATGTGGCGGAAAGTTTAAGTTAGGGTAAACTCATAGATAATGATTAGCTTTCTATAAAATTGTGCGACAACTAAGAAATTTTATTGTAAAAAAACTAACTTTTTTATTATTATCTCTTTTCCCTAACCTAGAACTTGATTTAGAAAGATTACTGAAACATTTTAGAAAATCCTTAATCATGCATAGGGCTGTCAATTTGGTTTGGTTTGGTTAATCAAACCATTAAGTATGAAAAACCGAAAACCATAAACCAAAAACCAAAACCATTAAGGTCCTTATTCGTTTTTGGCAACCAAAAACCAATAAGAGCCTTAATGGTTTTGGTTTGGATAACCAAAAAACTAACATGTACTCACACACTCATATTTATCCCTATTTCCCTCCTTTTTATTGAGTAAACGACATAATAATGGTAAATGGCCATTACAAATTATTGGTTGGCATGCGTGTCAAAAGAAACAAAAAAAATATTTGTTGATAAATAATTTTATTCTTATTGGTTTCTTAATGGTTTCTATTGGTTTTTCGGTTTTAACCAAACCAAAACCATTAAGTTGCTTATTGGTTTAAAACAAAAAAATTGAAACCATTAGCTTTCCAATTGATTTGGTTTCGGTTAAAACCAAATGGACAGCTCTAATCATGCATAATGTATTTTTTAGAGTTGCAAATAATACGTTTGGCTGTGCAGAGTTTGAGTTGTAAAAAAAAGGTAAGCGATTTTGCGTTAGAACTTTTGGGCTATTGAGCTTTTTCTTGACATGCTTTTGTGTAGGGCGCTTTGTTACCATTTACCAAGAATGCCATGCTTTTGAATAGTAACTTCACCGAAAAATCTGTTAAAGAACCCTACCTACAACAGGAGTGCCAATGTGCCATGCAACCATTTCATGAATGTCACATCCTAAGTTCCCAAAATTTAGTTGGCATAATACAACTATATAGTCATGACTCATGAGTATCGATTGTAACAATAATAAATAATTTTTCAGGAATACATAAAATGTCCAATTCCCTCCTAACCTTTAACAGAATCATTTTAAATGCTGACTAGACTAACACTTTTGCCGACTAAAGCATCATTTTATGGGCCTAGTTTAGTCCAACAATATTTTTGTTGTCCAGGCTTTCGTCCGAAGAGAGTACGAACCAATAAATACGACACTGAAAACAGGCAGAATGAGCGAAATGTGTGAGAGACCCCGACTAAAAATACAAGGGAGGTAGCCTCATTTTAAGACCATCTAATTCTCCGACTAAGATCTCATATATAAATATATATATATATATATATATTTTTTTTTTTTTACAGTAAGATCTCATATATCTCACTTCACAATATCACTACCGGCTCGATAATCTGAGGACTAACCGTTTCTAGAACATAGGCGCCGGACAGGGTAGCCCCATAGTAAGCCGAAGAATGGTAATGAGACTTCAACAGACTTCTATTCGCCTTCCACACCTGCGTCTTGTCGCGCAAACAAAGACTTCGTCGAAGGTGCAATAGGCCGACGTCCTTCGTGG